ACTTTTTTCTGTGAACCTCATATGTCCTGAATAATGAGACGCTTAACTCTCACAAGCTGCTTTCACACAAACATTTTCCAGAGGGGCTTCATGTGAGGACCCAAATGTCTGAGTTAGTTAGATTGTGGAACCTTTCCTGCCAGCCCTCTTGTAAATGTCACGATAATTCATAGCGAGTGAGTGGGCTTGTTGATGACATTTCTAACACACGTCATGTCCGCCCTCCTGCATGCTCTGCCCAGATGCCACAGAAATGTTCCTGATGTTGTGAACTGATCTGACTCGGCCAAACTGCTGCTACGTTTTTTTTCATATGTGAAAGTAAAGAAAAACAGACATTTTCTGGAACCAATTCCCCTGACATTTTCTGGAAGTAGTCTGAAAACGGCTCTAATCTGTAAGAAGGTAGAAAAACCACTTTTCCACACATCACATTTAATTTTGGCAGCTTGTGGGGTAACTTGGTATTTGGATGACAACAAGTGACAAAAATGTTGAGAAATGTTCCCCAGTGCCTGCGAGGGTTTTCTCCAGGTACTCCACTTTCACCCCCACAGCAAAAAACATTAAGGATAATGAGTGACTCTAAACTGCCCATAAGTGTGAATGTAAACATTGAGTGGTTGCTTCATCTCCCTCTATTGCTCACAAAGGAACATTCTTTTACAAAATAAAACCTCTGCACGAATAAACCCACTGTTTTCAAAGTGGTTTTTGATGATTCCTTCTTTTTCATGTTTTATTTTGATAGTCAGTTACATACAAAATGTAATTTACTTTAATGTTTGACTCTGATTTCCAAAAGAGAATCAGTTGTTTGGAGACACAAGTACAGAAACCTAAATTCAGCTCTCTTTAACAGAAAGAACTTGCATGTTTCATCTGCATAATGAGCCATGTTAATTGTCATATTTCGATCATTCTGCACTCTGATCATTTTAGTTTTCTTCCTTAAACTGCTCCCCATGTGTTGTATATAACAAAGAACCTGGTTACAGATGTATCAGGATTTTTGTTCAAGAAATACAAAATATCCTATCCTGCCCCCTACTGGACAACACCATTGAGAACACTTCAGTGTTGAAACTGTATCTCTTCATTGTTTAATTTCTTACCTCAGAGTAAGGTCAGCTCTTTAGTATCTCATGAGAAGCTGATGCTCCCTGCAGACGTGTAGTAACCCGTACAATCTGTCGAATATCTCTGGGACAGCAGGACGGTGTTCAGCTCAAACTCTCCAAAACGATGAGCACTGAATTCCTGTCATGAAAGCAGCAGATATAAATTACATTTAATGCATTTTTTCAATATTAAAAACAGTCTTATCCAGTGAGAGACCATTGCCATAGTAACGGATGACTGAAGATTTGCTTTGACACCTTTGTGTAATTTTCAGAGGAAAGAAAATCAAGAATTTTGGTTTTCAAACACACACTTTCTATCTGCTGTGTTAATTTAGGGTGAGATATCACTCACAGAGAAACAGAACCTGAAATATAAATATTTTCGCAGCCACTTCACACAGATCAATATTTATGTTGGTCATTTAGAGAAAAGCTAAAAAAAAACCCTCATGTGTAACTGATCCTCTGATAGATCCAGAACAGATTTTGTTTGTGATTTAGAAGTTTGAAAGTAGAGGCAGGATTATATTTTCCTCGCACCTTTAATATTTTCCTGGCATCGAAAGCCTCTCTTTCGCTCATGGTTTGTCTTCTGGAGCTGCCAGTGTCTTCACCTGTAAAAACACCAGAGTTAAAAAGACAAGCTCAAAAATGTAGCACAGGACAAACACAGATGGACGTGTTACCTCCTGATCAAATAAACGTGTTTACTTGCTGACACGGTTGTTCTGTTGTAGTGCAATAACAAGGGGGGATCAAGGTCAGTTAGTTTGTCAAATTAGCTTGTGAAAAAAAACAGATAGAATATTAATAGGATGTAGCCACATGCTGGTAAACATGGTCGGCAGTGACACGGCCCCTCTGTCGTGTTGTGTTCCTGGTCAGCTCAGTACAAATTTGAGAACTGGGGCTGGACTTGATCCATGGCCAAAATGAATGAAGCCATTGTCACAGTACTTGGAAAAACACGCAGCTTGGTGCATGTAAACAGAGCTGTGGCCAAACACAGAGCAGACAGCCTGATCCTGCCTCTCCTCAGGAATCTGTAGCTGTAATTGTTCAACATTAAGCCTTGTCGTCACTGCAGATCCAGTCCGGGCCAAAACACAATAAGGGGACATTGGCAAATGGGTTCAGGGCAAGAGCTTCCAATGTGATCACAGCTGGTTGGTGAGTTTGTTTTCACACAAGCGACAGGCACAGATGCTGTTTGCCTTCCTGCTGGATCGCCCGTCATGTGTATGTAATGTTTTTACCTGTGGCGTCCCTCCTGAACAGAGTGTTTATCACAGTGCCATGCAGCTTCACTCTGTCCCACTCTCGGACCATCAGCCCTGCCGACACAAAGTGCTCGACCAGCCGCTCTGCAATCACCTGTAACCTAAAGTGTGATCATATTTTAAAAAGAAACAGACATAGTCAGCTTGTTTGATTTACTTATCTCTCCACAGAGTTTATCAATAATCCACTTACTTGTCAGATCTGTCTTTGACATTGACTTTGGCGTACAACACATCCACCATGGCTGGGTCGTCATTCATGTACTCTATCCCTGTCACCTCCAACGGCAGAGGTTTTCCTTCTGCGATTTCCCTGATGTGCAACAACACAAAACACTGTCACAAACCAGCTTTACAGTTCTGTGTTGCCCCTACAATCTGCACTGCAGCTTTCTGTACTGGATTGTACTGTTCAGCAGACTTGGCTTGTGACACCACACCATTTTTTTAGCCCAATCTGACAACTAAGTTTGACTTTATCTAATCTACGCAATCAAATCCAATCTAATTACATGTAATCTAATTTCCCCTTCCAAAAGTACAAATTTCATTTAAGGATAAGGCTGGTGATAATCTAAGCCAAAATCCCATCAATGGTAACTTTAACTACCAGAACCCTCTCTATGTGGTACTCAATCCAGGGGATCATCCATCAAAGCTGAAGATGCATTAAAATCAGTCAGAAATATACAGTTTCTATTGAAAATCAGGCTAATTAAATTCCTAAAACTGGCCATAGGAGTTTTTAGCAAAGATGACTCAGACAGGTGTTTGTTGGAGACTATTTCCAACAGCAGATACTGAGCTCCAGTGAGTATTTACAGCAGAATGACAGTGGGCTTGTCTAAACTCAAATGAAGACATTATTTATTTAGTTATACAGGTAAAATCTATGTATGATAAAGTATCTGTTTGGCCCCTACCTGATGACGTTTTGACACTCCTGGAGGTGTTCACATGCTTTTCTCACTTCCATGTCATTTAACAGAGACATTGTGCCGATCGTCAGATGAAGCTTTGCAGGGTTCTGAAAGATGCTTCCCTCTACTCCATGATCCTACATTTTCAAGTTACATTAATTTGTCAACTTAGACGTTATTAACAATATAATGTGCCATACATATATAACAACATACCTGTGAACACTTCTGCAACACCTCATCTTTAAATTTAAGGAATCCTTCTTGTATTTTGGGATCATTCAGAGGAAATGACAGGAAGTGCGTGAAGGGCTGCTTTCTACGGAAACTGTCCATGAGGACCTCAACTCGAGTGACAGCAGATGAAATGGCAGCTTTGTGGGAGCCTGTGATAACTGTGAGAAGATGGAGGAAAGTTGAGAGAAAATCTCTTTCAGGATGTGCCCTCTCGTTTGTTTTCATCCATTCAATGATGGTTTGATAAATCCTCACCAATCTGCCCCTCCACTCCTTGTTTCGGGATGCTGATCGATGTCTTTGTGTCCGCCTCTAGACGTCTGCGTGTCTCTCCCTTTTTCCCGATGATGTATCTGTTGAGAAATGAAGCAAACAAGGAAACACAGAGTCGCGTTGTGTTGCTTAGAAACAAAAACTCATGTGCCACCGCAACACTTTAATTTTGTAGATCACTCACTTGTAAAGTACACTTGGGACGTCGATGGCACAGCGGTATCCTTTATCAGTCTGTTCAATGACATGGGTATCACAGGTTTCATCTGCGGCAAGCTCTTCACTCTCTAAGTTACAAACATACAAATAAGTTATCGGATTATTTCTATTATGGCTAAAGCCTGGCAGCACTAATCAATCCAACAGAGCAGCCCTACAACAAACCCTCAGATTGTGAAGGTTTCAATGTGAAACTGTGATAAAAAGGTGTTGAATCAGCTGCATGATCGTTCTGGAGGATGTTGTCAGGTGTGTCTGCTGATTAGCCTACCCTCATTGATTTGAATGGGATGGTCACAATAATAGGAACCCCTGTCAACACTATTCAAAGCAATTCAACGCATCTTCAACACACAATGTACATTTCCTGACGGTGTAATTCATGACAGCACGTGTACCTAATAAACTGAGTAAGTGTAGTTCAGCTTGTTTACCTGAAGGACCCATGTAGGAGAAATCCTCCTCTTCCTCATACTGTTCCTCCTTGATGACATTTCTTCGGTATATTCTTCCATTTATCTTGACGAGCGACGGACGTAAAACCTCCATAGTGTCAACTTGACAACGTTAGCTGAAGCTAAACACAGCTAACAACACAGTCAAGTCTCTGGCTAGCTCGTTGCTAAGTTAGCAAGGTAGCTGATGACGTTTCAAACAGCGATGAAGCTAGCCTACAATTCGAAAGCTAGGAGGAAAAGATGGAAAAGTATTAATTCTCAGTTTTTTACGCTTCACTACAGTGAAACAGGTTGAGACAGTTCAGTTTTAACTTTATCGCTGTTCGAGTCTCATTTTCAAAAGTTCTAAACCTTTATTTTCTCTATTTCAACTTCACCATCGACTCGGAGTCTGACTTCATTGTCGTGACGTTTAACTGGGTCGACGTCCCGCTGGTTTGTCGTCAGCAGATCTACAAAACAAACAAAGATCGACCTGCGCGTTGACGAGCGGCGGCAGCGCTGCATCCGCATAGTTGTCAAATCTGCGGCCGGAGCGTAAACCGCTGCGTGTGTCGCAAAGTGGGAGGAAGACCACAACTACACAAACAAACAACAGAAACAACTGCGCGGATTTAGAGTCGATGCAGATTCATCCGGACATCAACGGTTCGTTCACACTGTTTAAACAACAAGTGATGGATGTGATGTGTCTTATAACACTGATGGCGGCCGGTTGTTGACTTTATGGCTGTTAGCAGGACAGCTAGCTTCCTTGCTAGCCACTCACAGTAGATCGCTTCATAAGCCCACAAGCGTTAGAGTTGTCAGGTCTGTGTTGGGTTGAACTGAGCCTCGTGTGTGTTTTAAAGGTTTCTAACACGATGGCTGCGTCCTCTTCGTCCTCCTCTGCGGGGGGTGTAAGCGGCAGCTCGGTGACAGGATCCGGATTCAGCGCTTCAGAGCTCATCCCCCCCAGGAAAGTGCTGTACACATATCCTAAAGGTGCAGGAGAGATGATGGAAGGTAACTAAACACGAATCTGTAGCTTTGTCTCCATCTTTACAATTAGGGAAGAGATGAGGGGGGGGGGGGGTCACTCCAGATGAGCCAAGCAAACATAAAGGAACACTAGCATTGAGGGATAGTTCACCCCAAAATGAAAATTCACTCATTATCTACTCACCACTATGCCGATTGAGTCCACAAAACACTTATTGGAGTTTCAGGCGTAAACAGCGTTGCAGCCAAATCCAATACAATCAAAGTAACTGGGGACCACTTCTTCAAAAGTAAAAAAACAACAGGAAAAAAAACGTAAAATGCCTCCACTCTGCTCCTGTGGTGTCAGCCAAGTGTCCGTAACCCGGACATTCAAATTCAACTCAAACGGCGTCATTTACACCATGTTTTTGTCCACCATTATTCTCCTCTGGAGCCGCGTTCACGTTTGCACCCACACACAAGCCCTCACTCACAAGGGTGCGCGGTATCATCGTTAGTTCCAGTAGCATAGCTGCAGTTACTGCTGAGTATCACTGATGTAGTCTCCTGCCCCTTGGGCGAGAGCATAGAGACGTGAGCTTGTGAGTTTTAAGTTTTAATGTCGGGGCTTTTCATAATGTCGTTTTACTACATTTGAAGAAGTGGTTACTTCAGTTGTATTGGATTTGGCTGTTTACCGCTGAAAGTGTTTTGTGGACTGAACCACTTCTCATTTTTGGGTGAACTATCCCTTTAAAGGCTGTATCAGCTAAATCTTGTTTGTCATTGTGTTTATGCTTTATCGACAATGACACATTTCATACTCAGCGTTGGTACCTGTAATGCTGGATGATCGTCTTTACAGAGAAAATGAAGTAATCGTCATCGTTCACAAAGCGCCACTGTTTCCTCACATCTCTTTCAACATCTACAAAACATGATCCATCAATGACTTAGCCTTATGTACGCATTCATCTTGGCACAACGCTACACATCTTTTTCAGTGGAATGAACTTTAAACTTCTTTGGAACTTAATTATCTTGATAATGTTTTAGGACTCTTGCAATTATATGTATTTGTTGTGTTATGTCTGTTTGCTAATTGTGTGCTTATCTGACCATGAATGTTTTATTGTGCTCTCTTGAAAAAGAGATCTCAGTCACAATCATGCCTGATAAGTAAAGTAAAAGTGAGTAAAAAAATGCATGTGTTACATTCAATCAGAGAGAGCACATAGCTTAGTCTCAGATACTTGGTGCCTCTCTTGCAAATGCAACATCATTTTTCATCAGAGTAGCAGATTATGTGCTGAATGAAGCATTCAGATCGCAGAGCTAAGCACGTGTTTATCTGACTGATGCTTTAAAGCCGAACTCAACGGTTATTTCAGCTTTCTCCAGGACATCTAAAATGCAGCTAAGCATCTTTTATTCACATTTGCAAAATTTCTTTCACAATTGTGAACTTTGCTCCTGTTTCCTAAATTGCAAAAAACACAGATGTAGGAGTGGAATCCAAATTATTTTACTCATGTCATGTATGGGGTACCTGTACTTTACACAAGGGTTTCTATTTCTATTGTAATATACTATCCCCACATTTTGAGAGGAATTACTTTCGTCTTTGATAATGATAAACCAGCCTATATGAACGGACTCATTCTACTTTTGGTACTAATAATTTGGATTCTTAAATTCTTATATACTAATACACATGTAAAATGTTTGACACTCAACTTTTAGTTGTGATGGAGTAAATGCACATAGAAGTTCTGCTATTTTAAGTAAAAGATCTAAGTACTTGTATTAAGTACTGGTTTTAAACACAGTTGAAATTTAGGAAACTTGAGTTGATAATCATCATTATTGTGAAGTTGAATTAAAAACTAAAATAAATGTTATCACAAAGCTTGTGTCCTCTTATCAATCAGCACTTATTTTGAACACGTCTATTCTCTGTTTGACCTAAATGGCCCTACCTCATGCATCATTCACCGGCTCGTCATTGCCCCACACACAGGATTTGTTTATGGGAGCGAAAGGCCACCTGGCTCTTTACTCCCTCTTTGTGGCCTGTGCAGCTCCAACTACACTAATTAACGTGATTAGTTTGGCAGCAGAGCGCCCTGAGGTGAAAAACAACCAACAAAGTAATGAATAGGAGCGCAGTGACGTTGAAGGTCTCAAGCTGCTCCTCTTTGTTGTCTCTTTTTGGACTATTTCATAACTCTGAATGGGCCTTTTTACTGAAATTATAAAACATCTAACATGAAGATCTCTTTCTTTAAAAAGCTTGACAGCCTAATTACCAGGGTTGCGGTTATATCTTTTAAAGAAATCTTCTCATTTAAACTTTTGTGTATGTGTGTCCTTTCAGATGGCTCCGATAGATTTTTGTGTGAGTCTGTATTCAGCTACCAAGTGGCCTCAACACTGAAACAGGTCAAACACGGTAAGCCAGTACCTGTATATGCAGAATTTGTTTATTTTGCCTGCTGCAGTAAAGACTAATATGCTGACGGACCAACTGTCTTACAATCTCCCAGATCAACAAGTGTCTCGAATGGAGAAACTGGCGAGCTTGGTGGAGGAGCTGGAAGCGGACGAGTGGCGGTACAAACCAATCGAACAGCTGCTGGGATTTACACCATCTTAAGTAAAGAGACCCAGATGCCTTTGGTTAATAAATCAGCCAAATATAAGGAAATGGGAAGGAGATACTTTTATTTCAGTTCATAAATTATATCCCTCCTTTTATGGGTTTATGTGTGAAATGTTACCTGGAGATATAAAATGTGAGATGTAATATTTTATCACTCCTTTTATTGTATGAACATGGTTTACTTATTACTTTAAAAGCAACTTGTTATTTGACGCTCCATATCAAGATAAACTCTGCTTTACTAAAATCTTCTTTAATATCTGAACATATTAAACTTTTGTAATAGATTGTTGATACTTTTTCAACTGGTTTAAGCTAATAAATTGCTGCCAGTCCAATGTGCTCTAAGCTGGAGATAAGAAAATTCTTTGCTAACGTAATAAATCTCTTGAAGTGAGACATTGTTTTTCCCCTTGGCTGCTCTGTAACTCATGAATCTGAAAACCTGGTGCCTGTTCAGTCCGCCCTCCTCTCTGTGGATCTCTGAGAAAACAGAGAAAGCTTGTAAATAAAGTCGAACTTCAACATGTCATGGTTCGGTTTCTGTTTGTTTTCTCTGTGTCGTGTAGTTTGTCTCAACCCACAGCACTAGATAGATAATTCAATTTCTTTGTTGTTTGTTGTTGAATGTTTTTCCGTCAGCTGAAGGAGCTGAAGCCTGACACTAATGGATGTGATAGATTCAGTGTCACGTCCCTGCGGTGCGTGTTCAGCGAGGAGAGATTCAGATCTTGGTGTTTTGCTCAGTGACTGAGTGTTTTTAAACAAACGAGGGGTGGGCACATACAGAACGTACTGTTCAGTGTGAATGTCTGAAAGCCCTCGACATGAAAGGACACACCTTTTATTAAGCTCCAGCTAAAATGTCCTTCTTGAACAACAGCTCATTTTACAACACAACTTTCTTGGAACTACTGTAAATTTTACAAGTATGTTTTTTCCATGAGCTGCCTGTAACCTTTGTCCCTCTGGATGTAAAACAAAAGGGAACAAACTCTTTCCTCCCCCACCAAAACTTTTTGACGTTGAACTCACAACATCCCCTCAGAACATACTGTGCCTGCACGTGTTCACGTCTTTCAGTTCCTCCCTGACCAAAAGAACAGCCCATCCCACTCACGTGTGGCGACGCAGCACATATGTAGCGTCTCGCCAAGAACTTTTCCCTGTGCTAACATTGCAGGCAGCTACAGTTGCGGCCCTGCCAGAGAGAAACACAACACCGGTTTGTGCAATGCACTGTGCATATTTCCACTGTGCTTGCTGTTTGCTTGTGTTCCTATCTTAAGTCAGAGAGAAAAACAAATGCAAGATACATAATCGAACTGTATTTCTACAGCTCTGCATGTTTTCTTTGTTCCCTCTGAGGATAAAGAGCTGCCACATATCTTCATACGGTACAATATAATGTTATTACCCTTCTACAGTATGTACGCAGTGTTGCACTATGCAGCAGATCTTGTTGTTTGCACCCCTGTGTGGCAGCTGAGAGAAATCTGATGTAATGCTCCTGCAAAACAAGTGACGTAATGTGCACTGCAACACTGATCAGGCTGAGCCCTGCCTGCATGGACTCTGTTCCAGCAACAGTGAGGATGCACGCACACACACACACACACACACACACACNCACACACACACACACATATATATATTCACCCATGCTGAGGTGGTGGGATACATTAAACAAAGAGATGCTACACAATCTGATGCAGGCAAGTCTGTACATTTCCATAATACTGAGATCTGCTCTTCATCTCCACCATCCCCCTCTTCCTCCTCCTCCTCCTCTTGCTGTTTTTCCTTCTCTAAGTTACCAGGCAGGATACAGGGTCAGATGGCGTGCCTCTCTTTTTGATTGGCTGTCCCGGGAGGCGGGGGGCGTGGCCCAGCAGGCAGTATATAAACATTGTTGCAGGACGGAGCTCGGAGCTCGGACAGCTGATGGACAGCAGAGCAGACGCAGGACAGACGAGATTGTTGTTTACGAGACAATAACCGTGGAGATTAACAACTTCACACACACAACGGACTCACACAGCGACGTCTTAACATAACCTGTAAGTATTGGGTGATAAGTGCTAGTTTTCTTAGCTTGTTAGCTCCTTTAAACACATTAAACAGCGGCAAAACTACCTGCTAGCTTTACCTCAACTTGTTTTTCTGTTCCAACTCCACTGACCTGTTGTCGTTGTTTCCTCGTTAGCAGCCGAACACAGAAGAGGACAAACATGCCTGCTCTCTGTGCAAACACCGACGCCAGCGGCTCCCCCCACTCCCCGGTGGACAGGAGGCTGTCCTGGGGCAAACTGGTGCAAAGACTCGCCGACTTCAGCACATCTGGGAACAGCAGCAGCAGCAGCCTGGAGCTGGGCTACAACAATGGCAGCAGGAGTGATCTGTCAGACTCAGGTAAGCAATGCTGCAGAGGCATCTAGTAACAATGGCTGGGAGGTTAAACGATATCGATGATTACATGCAATGTCATTTCCATCTTAAGTCCCTTTGTATTGCGTACACGCATTGTGCAGACACAGTGAGGAAGTATAACATAGGTGATCTACCTCACATTTGTAAAATATGTTGCTGCTGGTAAAGTAAAACTACAACTTTTTATTCAAGGGCAAAAATCTGTTTTTAAACTTAAAATAAATAAAAAGAATGTGATGATAATGAATATTTGAAAGTGATCTATCTCTCTTTTTATTGCTTTCATCTAAAAATAGTTTTTATCAGCGTACCCCTGAGAATCCTTTGTCTGCCAAAGCACTTTGTTAACACCATTTTAAAGGTGCTTTATAAATGAGGTTACTTTTCGGTCAAAAATCTCCCAGCCCTACTCGCAATCCTTTTGTTAGACGACAGATTTCATTCTCCTCTCGATGCCTGGTTCCAGTTCTAACCTATTGTGTTTTTACAACAGGCTCCGACATCTCCAGTGACCTGTCTCCCTCTGATGAATACCTGTTTTATGACCCGATGGAGGAGACGATCCTGAAAGATGTAGTTGACCTCATCGCAACAAGCCTGCGAGAAGCCAAAGACTCGGACTGCGCCTTGCGCTGCACCAAACTGCTCATCCCTGAGAAACTCCTGGAGAACATCGGACAGGAGCTCCTTCACCTGGCGGCCAGTGAGCCCTGCGGCCTGAGGGGGGCTCTCATTGACCTGTGTGTGGAGCAGGGGACCGTCTGTGAGAGCATGGGGCAGCTGTCCGTGGACCCCTACCTGGTCCCCACCTTTCAGCTGACTCTGGTGTTGAGGCTGGAGTCAGGCGGGCTGTGGCCCAAAATCCAAGGACTTTTTAGCACAAAGTCTCCTTCTGCTCCAGTAGTGAGACAAGCGATTAAACTTCGGACTGGTTTCCGCGTGATTAAGAAGAAACTGTATTGTTCTGAAGAACTGCTAATTGAGGAATGTTAAGAAATGCAAGGGATCTGTGTTTTTAAAAATTCCGAGTAAATCTCCCAGAAGGGCCACAGTACTCTTACTGTATGTGTAATGCCTTCTGTGTAAGGTGTGAGGATGGAGCCAGGATTATGTTTCTACTGTGAGGTAGTTCAAGTTTATGGTACTGGAACGGATGTTGCTCCTCATTGACATTTTCATATTATCAATTGCAACAAGTAACTATCATGCTACATATGGTTAATAGCATTTTTGCAAGTATTAAAGTGTGTACCTCAGTTTCTATTGAAACCACATGATGGCAGCTAGCTATATGGTTATATTCATTAAAAAAACATTGTTTTCTTTCTTCTTTTTTTTTACAATGCAGTTAACTGATTGTATGTGATGAATTTTACCATAAGCAAACCATTAGGGACCTTTTTATAGTGACTGAAACAAAGGACTACCAGCGCTTGCCTTGTGCAGTACATGTGTAAAGCTGTGGCTAATGATTCCAATGTAACTTGATCCTGTATCTGTGTAGCCCCGTCCTGCTTTCAACTTTATTTATTTGATATTCAAATACTTTTCAACATTGCACTGAGTTTGTATTTTCATGACCGCAAATAAATTATTTTTTTTACAGCTCTCTTCTCTGTCGACTTATTTCATGAACCCTGTTAGATCTAGTTTGCAGTTTTACATCCAGGGTTATGTTTCCTATGGTAATCGTGTCATTTATTATACAAAGGCAATGGAAAAGTTTTCTCCATTCTGCTGAGTAAACACTTCATAAAACTTCCACTGAGATATTTGAAGTGAAGAATGCTCTTCATTATTTTGTCATGTACATCAGCTGAACCAGACATATCTTGCACAACAGTGACTTAAAGTGTGGAAGTAAATTTCTCAATAACTGCCAGAAACAGCTGAAGGCTTTTTGCGGTTAAAGAGCATGACGTGGCCACAGGGGCCGGGCACATTCTGCACGTCATCCAAAACGTGAACGTGCACAGAGCCATGTTTCCAGTTCCCAGCTTCAGTCTGTGAGCCAGCCGGCAACGTTTTGTGCTGACTCAAGCTTATGTTTCCACATTCTGCTCTGGACAAATGAGTCGCGTTCCACACGTTTCAAGCATCCACATTTATTTCTCATCCAGGACTAAAAACATGGTGGAAAAAGGTTCTGTGTGATAATCTGTTCCCAACTAAAAACAAAACAGAGAATAAATAGCATACTATGAACAAATAGTGTGACAACAGATAGGACAGTACACTCCAACAATAGAACTTTTGTGGATAGGCACATCTCTCATTCTTTTGGCGTTTATTATGAAGTGCCATCGACTTACAGTACATTATATCACTCTATCCTTCATATAATTAAAGGAGGCAAAGTGTAAAGGGACATTTCATAGTTGTTATCTCTCTCTCACACACACACAGCAGAAAAAGAAGACAGATCTCAGTGCTCACACGACTCAGCAAACCTTAGACATGAGTGTGTATTCATCAGAGGTTTCACATTATTCCTGCATAGTTTCACAATGTGCAAGTCAAACAAGCAAAAATTCAGCCCCAGACTCGTCTCTTCAACTGATTTGACTAATTAAAATGAAAGAGGAAGCGTTCGCTGTGGTATCTAATCAGCTGCTACATATATAACATCCATAGGGATGCCAGGGAGCTTATGTTCAAACCCAAGTCTGCTAGATGGTTGGTTGATTATGGGTGAGGGAAGAATCCAGTGGATGTTAGTGCAGATCCAGGAATTTTATTTTCAACATTTTTAAGGTTTTCAAAGGAAATAATTCATGGATCTTGGTGGAAGAAAATCAGGCACATTAGAGAACTGATATCTATGAGCGTGTGAAGCTGATTGCAATTTAAGGGAACTGATGGACGTTTCATACTGCATTCTTAGAAGAAGACAAAAAACTAGTGAGCTCTGCCAGGTTCATGGCTTCCAGGCAAAACTGGGACGTGAAGGTTTTCCAGACCCGTGTCTTGTCAGGGGGACGAGCTATTTTTAGTGGCTTTTCCTTTTCATATCATTAATATTACATTTAAACTTCACATAATAAAATTCATAGTTTCATCCAGTTTGTTTTCAGTTCAGTTCGATGCAGATTGCTGCTGGTTTGTTTGTGTTGCTCGTTGAGTCGTTGTCGGTCTCCGGATTGTTAAAGCTCATCTAGTTACAGCCAGCAAACTTCAGTGTTGATTAGGGAAACCTAGAGACGACAGGAAAACAATGAATGAATATGCAGGTAGCCTCTAAACAAAAAGTTTTCAGTTTGATTCTGGATACTTGTGTTGGATTATGAAAGCAGCTTCAACCGTGTTGTGATGCTGTGATCTCCGACAGCTTGACGCAGCTCGGTGTGCGAGCCCTCTGTGCTCTTTGGTACAGATCCGTGTCTCCAAAATAGCGAGCTCTGTATAACATGCCTTCCTCTGCAGGAAATGATTCATGAAAGACATAAGAGAGGAGGAGAGGTGATAAAAACCAGAATATGTTTTTAATCTTTTGCCCAGAACTGGCAGAACCAATATCCACACCTGAGTAAAGGAATAAGCCTGATTTGTTCTACTGGCACACATACTTTGTTGTTTCTCCTTCCAACAATTGTTGCGAAGGTTGGAAATGTAATCGTCCTCCACCGAACGCTCTAAATTCCTCCGATTCATCCCGGTAAACTCTTTGGAGAACTGCTCCCCAACGTAATATGGCACCTTCAGGTTCTCAGTTAGCCTCTTCTGCGTGTAGCCTGCTGACCTGCACAGGAGATAAGACAAAGGTGTGAGCGGCGTAACACGTGTCCGACAATGACAGGTCTGGCACCGTCTGTCTCTGTGCACACGACTCTGATGATAACGGCTGGTGTACGGGCCAGAAACGACAGAAGCGTATCTGGAACACGAAGGCAGGCAAACATGGAGAGAGGCCAGACACATGGAGCCAGCAAACGAAGAGAAGGCGATATCGAACGGTTCTTTCTAAATCTGACAAGTCACAATACATCTGAGGCTGCAAAATAACTCGTAACATGAAAACAAATCTATAAACCTGAGACATCTCAAATTGCTTCTGTTCAAAAACTGCATGAAGATCTCACAATTGACAATCAATGGTTTGATTACACTGAATTTGTATGTAACGTGAAGATAATTGTTGTGTGACAGTGTTATTTCAGAGCAGGGATCAAACTCACGGCCTGAAGCTGAGGCTGTAGGGGGGGGTGTTGACCATGATCTGACTGAGAGCTGACACAATAACCAGGATGAGGATGGGCATGACCTGCACGAAGAGAGCAAGACCCCCCTGCAGAGGAAACATGACGATCGTTCAAACCTTTCTCTGCTTTAAAAAACAGACACTTGAATATTGCAGAGGACAAAAAAATCTCAGATGACTCGATGTCTCCCCCTGTTGTTAAATAGTAACATTACAAGACATGCACTCTGCAGTCTGCAGAGAATGAAAACATCACACTCACATCTCGCGGTCGCTCTCGTCGCTCTCTCCTTGGATTACGCATCCGCCCGTTAGCGTACACGTTAGCATTACCTGGATGAAGGTAGCACATGTAGAACTTAATAAACAGATCATAACCTCTATAAGCTGGATTGAAACATAGACTGTTTATAAAGGTGAACAACACAGCTCCACTTCCTCCCACTATCCGGAAGTTAAGCCAAAATCTTCCGTATATACGAATTCAGACACAGTCAAACAATCATGAGTCAGTTTGTCAATAATGACGTATCACCCTGTATTTAAAGCATCAAATAACAAACTAAAACCAAAATGAACACAAAGAAATCATCTTTGAGAGAAATTTCGCCTTTTTAGTTTGGTCCACCTGTTAACATGGAGGAGGCAGGGTTATGACCTATGGTGCAGCCAGCCAACAGGGGGCGATCAAGGCATTTTGGCTTCACTTTTGTGGAGCCCTAAGGTTGTCCATCTTTATTTCCAGTCTATGGTATGAAAGCACACAGTGTAGCAGTGGCACTGACTTGACGGGTATCCTCCTCCGAAGAACATATTGAAGAGGTCTTCAGGTGAAATGTCTGGCTCGAAGTTTCCATGACCGGGTTCATGTCTGGAAGGATGTTGCCTCTCTTCTTCACACTGATCATACTGCTGCCTTTTGTTAGCGTTACTCAGGACGGCGTACGCATTCCCGATAGCTGGTGGAAAGTAAAAATGAAAAGTCACATTAGGTTCGAGCATCACAAAGAAAAGACTTTGATCATTGTTGAACCAAGGTTTCCTGCATGTTACCTTTAAAAGCCTCCGTAGCCCCTGGAGCGTGGTTCTTGTCTGGATGGAATTTCAAAGCAAGTTTTCTATATGATCGTTTCAGTTCATCCTCAGGTGCGTCTTTCTGGACCCCGAGAATTTCATAGAAGTCTTTGCATTGTTTTATCCTGCGAGGAAAACACACGACTCTCTGTCAGATTCCATAAAACAGTGAATATATTCACTCTATATATAGAGTTTTATAAATATACCTCTGTGTCAGTCGGTCTTACCTCCTCACAGCATCCAGCTGATCCGCCGTGTAGGGTTTCGAGGCATCTGAGGGTTTTTCTTGAGGTCTCGTATCTTCACTGGTGTTCTGCCGATGTCGAGGACCCGAGCTCCCACTGAACTCTGAGTGGCTGCCTGCTCTGGGTGTGAATCCATTCTTTGCTATCAGGTCCAGCAGAACTAGATCCAACACAAAACACCGTTGAGAGAATTAAAAGACATTCAGGCTTTCAACACACGTGCATGGAGAGATTAAAAAAAACAGATCTGGTCAGATTAGCCAGGTCCAGAAACACTTTAAGAGTCTAAGATCTTTTACGGTTCCTTGTGTTTGTATTGTATTTCTTACATAAGTATTACCTTTACTGAGTGTATTAATTTCTTGCTGCTGCAACACAATATATTTCCTCATGGTGGGACCATTACAGGATTATCTCATCTCATCTCATCTCATTATATCTTATGTGATAACACCACTGGCTGTATTTCTTGCCCTGGAACTGACTCTCTAGGTTTATCTTTCTAATAAATAAACCAGCCAGTGATATCACTGACTCCTTGTAAACGGTTTTGTGTACAGTTAAGATAAAACTACCACCAGGGTACTGTGGTTGTAAATGTACTTTAACACACTATCTGCTGTGTGCACACAGTGACTGCAGCTGGAGGGGCACTGAGAGGCCCTGGCTCATCCTGGATGCTGCAGGTGATGCTGCTGCTGTGCACCCACCTCCCTCCCTCCCTACCCAGATCCCCCCCCCTGCTTCCCTTTACTCCAGCTCGGCCATTTTGACTCACCCCTGGCCTTCTCTGTCGGGAACAGCCTCTGCGCCTTCTCCAGGAACCGCTGCGCCTTCTCCGGCTGCTCGTTGGTCAGCGCCGCAGTGGCGATGTCGATGCAGCGCTCCGCCTCGTCCCTGTTCACCTCCATTGCAGCAGCAGCAGCAGAAAACTGGGGCAGGAGTAAATACAGGCGCCGGCTGATGCCGTCATGTGGATGCTGCAGATCCCGTCAGCTGGTGACATGAAGCCGTCAGAGCTGTGATGCTGCTGCTGGAGTCTGGAGGAGCTGGAAATACGTTGGAGCCCGTTTGCGCGATGTGATGACAGCGTTCGCTCCCTGCGCCGCCTTGTTTCACCACTAGATGGAGACAAACCGCGTGTTTTCAGATGAGGGCCCTGCAGGTGGAGCTTTCTGATTGGTCCCTGAGGAGTGAACATGTGTGAACTGTTCTCAGACCAGCATCTGCACGAGTTTTCTTTTGGGTTAAGTTTTTAAAAATAGTAAAACATGCAAGTAAAAAAAAACAAAAAAAAAAACACAGCTAACAACTTTAACAACAATGTTACAAGTAAATCCCTGAGGTAGGAACAAGTGAATACGTATCCAGGCCTTCCCCCTCTTTCATTGGTCATGAAAACATTTTGTGAAATGCTCCATCTCTTTCAGTCGTTTTGATTTTTTTTTAAACTCAGTCAATGTTGACCCCTGGATCTGTTCCCAGTCCAGTGATCAACTCGTGACTCAATAAATAGACTTCTTACACCAACTGGAAAATATATTTAAGGGTTCAGGTGAGGGGTGGTCTTTATCATCCCAGAGGGGCAATTTGGTTTGCAAACAGTCGTCACACAACCAAGTAGTTAGAGCAGTGATTTTAGTCTGTAATTCACAACATGAATGAAAATCATTCTCATTCTCATTTAAGTAGATATTAATGGAAAAAAATCATTAAATTAAAAAAGAAAGTAACGATGCAGTAAGTAAAATAATCAGCAATTTTTAATGGCAGACTCTGGAAAATGCACCGTCAAGTCGATATCGATGGTAAATAGTATGAAGGATCATTGATAAATCAATTACTATGGAAAACAATGTGCAAGTTGATTACTCTGGAAAAGAATTGAAAAATTGATACCTCTGGAAAATAGGCTAATGTGAAAGTCGATTAGTCGAAAAAAATACTTTGCAAATTGATAACTCTGTAAAAGAATCTGAAACATTTGAAGAAAGCTTTATTTCATTGTGTTTGATGAAGAGGATGTATTCACTTGTTTTCACTTCAAACATTAACACAGCACCTATAGACCACGTTCGTCGACGTGGTTATATATATATATATAATATATATAAGAGTATAATATATTCCTGTCATCATTCTAGGGGTTTCTGTATGTGCGGTGGAGGGGTGTGGGGTGTGGGTGACGTGCCCCAGCTGTGCTCTCCTGTGGGCGGGCTGAGGTTTTCCTGTGAGAACAGCGAGTACCCAACATGACTCACTTCACATAATTGCTTCTTGTTATTTGAAACGCTGCTCATGAGACCGTGGTGTCAGATCCACGCGTGATCGGACACAGGGTGAAGTCCCTCCGCGTCTAGACAGCGGTGCAGCTGCTGCCGCCGCGCGGAGGTAAATATACATCTGGCAGCGGAATGAATAAAAGGTGAACAGCAGATAAACAGGCAGCCAATCAGAGGCCGGGGCCGAGGCGAGCTCTGCGCGCTGATTGGCCGCTCGCACCTCCAGCCCCGGCTCCCATTGATGCTCCTCTGCGGCGCTGTACAGCTTCTGCCTCCGCTTCTCTCTCCGCTTCTCTCTCCGCGTGCGACCCAGCAGGCTGCCCCGTGTCCGCCTTTCACATCCGGTGAAAGAGAGGAAAAGCTCGTTTCCGCTCGTCTGTCGGTGAGTTGTTGTTCTCCCCCTCCGCCGTTCATCCCTCCGTTCTTTCCACAGGTGTAACATCGGCGTTACGCAACCGCGTAAGAGAGTGTCGTCTCTCGGCGAGAAAGTCAGCGGCAGCATCGTCACATCCACGCAGCTAGCTAGCTAACCTGGATAGCAGGAAAAAGAAGAATGATAATGATACTGTAAAGATGGACGCGTGTCTTTCACCACCGTGTGTTTGAGGCTCCACCGACGCCCCTCTCTCTCTCTCTCTCTCTCCCTCCTCCCGTCTCACAGCATCGCCCGAACCGCAGCCACGATGACGGAGGCGGAGGCTTTGGAGAAGAAGCCCCAGCAGCAGCCGCGCACGCCCGACACCGGGAGCAGCGTCCCCGCGGAGGCCAACAGAGAAGACGTCCTGGATCACACGTACAAAGAGAAAGAGGGGCCCAAACCCCCCCGGGTCATCGTGTGGAAAAACGTCGCCCTGATGACCGTGTTGCATGTAGCTGCCGCGTACGGCGTCCTCCTCATCCCCTCAGCATCCCCCCTGACCTTGCTCTGGTGTAAGTGCACATCACCTCTACCTGTTACTGCGCAGGGATCTGTGTGTGTGTGTGTGTGTGTGTGTGTGGGGGGGGAGTTTTTTATTCTTTCAGTTACATTCTTCCAAACATCATCTCAGCTGTTATGTCAGCAGCCCGGCCCACTCTCTCTCTCTCTCTCTCTCTCTCTCTCTCTCTCTCTCTCTCTCTCTCTCCCCACTGGTGCATGCATGCAAAAACATGGTCGCTTACATCAGTGCATAATCCTCCCAGTAGCCTGCATGTAAGGGAGTGTATAGGGAGTATGGATGAGGCACGTATCATCCGAGATTTAATGTCACCCACCGCCTGTGTCTGCAGACTGCTGCTGCTGCACAGGGGGGCAGAGAGCTGCTGTTAGGTAACGACACAGAAGAGATGACAGGACGTGTTGATTGATCGATCAACAGGAAATAATCCAGCTAATACTTTGAGTATTGATCGGTGTCAGAGTTTTTAATAATGTCACAAACATTCAGCAGTAGTGCTCACAATGTCAAACTGAGTATGTCGAGGATTCGGATTTGTTTATGTAACAAAGAAAAAAATGTCCTGGCAACTGTGATTGGATTTTTAAAAACATTTTATAGACCATACAACTACTCAACATAATAAGCAAGTCAGTTTCTCTGTAAAAGAATCCGTAAATCGATCACGCTGGAAAATAACTGTTGAATTTACCACGCTGGAAAATATTTGGGGGAATTGTGGGAAATATTTGGCAAGTTGATAATTCTGGAAAAGAATCTGCAAATGAACTAATAATGAAAACAACCATACGATAATATATAAAAGCAGTTATAACATGATGTTAAGATAAAGAATTCTAATTAAAGCAAAGAGGACTGTAGATGTTAATGCCTCCAGCTTCATCATACATGTCATAGACGCAATCATCAAATGGTTTTATCTATCCAGTCATCATCTGATATGATATAAATACATTAGAGTGTCGCAGCTCAATGGAGTTTAGATACTGGAGTACAGACCAGTTCAGTCAAAGGTGGATTGTAAACATTAATAGAAACCTTGTGCAGGAAAACTCAGGTGATTCATTCATTTGTATTGTCAAGAGCTTTTGGGGGCAAATTCACAGATTTGTTGCCTTTAATAAACTGGAAAAGTTCTATAAACTACAATGATGAGCACATTAATCATTTCTGCTTTTTGAAAATAACATTTGGACAATTTCTTTCAGTCACACAGATACTGTGATAGAGGACTGATAAAATAATCACATGCTGCAGGATTTGCCCTCAAGCTCAGACGATGATGCAAAGACTTTGCAACGAGCAGTATCAGTTCTCTTGTGTGGAACAGATCAGTATAGCATGGTCAAACTAATTAGTCCTGCATTTCTTTCCACAGCCGTACTTTGTTTTGTGATAAGTGCTTTAGGAGTTACTGCAGGAGCTCATCGCCTGTGGAGTCACAGATCCTACAAGGCCTCATTACCCCTAAGGATCTTTCTTGGTTTTGCTAACTCCATGGCATTTCAGGTACCTGCAAATAACAGCTCTACTGGCACACACTTTCATTACAGTGTTAATACCATGGTGTGTCCTACACTGTATGTAATCTCCGTCTTTATTTAAAACCCTCAGAATGATATCTTTGAATGGGCCCGGGACCACAGGGTTCACCACAAATATTCAGAGACGGACGCGGACCCTCACAACGCCGTCCGAGGCTTCTTCTTCGCTCACATCGGCTGGTTGATGCTGCGCAAACACCCTGACGTCATCGAGAAGGGACGCAAGCTGGAGCTCACTGACCTGCGGGCCGACAAAGTTGTAATGTTTCAGAGAAAGTAAGTCACTTCGGTGAATGATTTATTTTACACTTGGAGATATAAGACAATGATCCATGCAAGGTGTTAAATTGTTAAAAAAAAAGAACTTTAGACTTTTGTCAGGTGGTTTTTGCTGGAAACAATTTCTCAAATGCAAAAAAAACCTTGGCCTACACTACATTTACCTAACACAAATGCAATGCAGTGCCAGTTAATTTAGTTTTTCTGGTTTAACCAGGTGACAACTACCAACATGTCATTCATGCATGGAGAGATATGCAAAAGGTTTCAGTGAAAACTGTGTCATGAAAAGGAAAGTGAGGGCGTGTACATGTCTAGCAAGCAGCGCACTTTTTGTTCAATGTGTACGTTGCACTGAGTAAATACTGAGTTCCTTTCTTTCCACTCTCCACCCACTGTCTCTCCCTGACAGGTACTACAAGCCGTCAGTGGTGCTCATGTGCTTTTTCATCCCCATGTCCGTGCCTTGGTACCTGTGGGGGGAGTCCCTGTGGGTGGCGTACTTCGTCCCGGCGCTTCTGAGGTACACGTTGGTGCTGAACGCCACCTGGCTCGTGAACAGCGCCGCGCACATGTGGGGGAACAGGCCCTATGACCAGCACATCAACCCCAGGGAAAACAAATTTGTCACGTTCAGCGCTATAGGTATGGAGAACATATGAAAGTGTTATCTAATGTGAAAAAAAGATAAAGAAAGTAACTCAGAGTCACAAAGTTGAGACAGGACTTAACATTTTTAAGTGTTTATTCTTGTTTATGTTTTAGGGGTTAGTATTTAAATTCTCTGTGACATCAATTGTGCAACATTAATCAGATACGTTAGACTAGTGCTTCATGGTGATATGAATTTCTTACTTTTCTGTACATGTGCAACTGTTGCCGACATCAGAGATAGTGCAGTGCATGTCAATTAAGATGCGAACCAATAATGGAAATCAGTGCTAAACAACGTTTCCAGGCTCTTTCAGACCTTTAATGTAACATTAGAGTGTCATCATTCAGTCACAC